CTGCCAGTGAGAAACAAGTGAAGCAATGGCACAAAGGGGGTGTACAAGGGTTTCTAGTTCAATGTCAGGCATTATCCCCCCAAGAGCAAGGACTGGAACCTCATTTTTTCCACACTGATGTACACACTGCCCACCCTGACATTGGCCTTCTGTTACAAGAGTTTCAGGATGTCTTTCAGGAGCCTAAAACCCTACCTCCTAGAAAGGAGTTAGACCACACAATTCCTTTGGTCCCAGGGGCCAAACCTATCAATATTGGTCCTTATAGGTACTCTTATGACAAAAAAAAACACTATTGAGAAAATGGTTGTAGAGATGTTGACAGCTGGAGTGATTACACCAAGCTCTTCTTGTTTTGCCTCTCCAGTGTTGCTAGTCCCCAAAAAAGACAACACTTGGAGGTTTTGCATTGACTATAGAGCTCTCAACAATGTCACAGTCAAGAACAAGTTCCCAATCCCTTTAGTGGATGACTTATTTTCTGAGCTAGCTGGGGCTGTATGGTTCTCAAAGTTGGATTTAAGATCAGGATATCATCAAGTGAGGATGAAAGAGGGAGAGGAGTTCAAAACAGCCTTTAGGACCCACCAAGGCCTATATGAATTTAAGGTCATGCCTTTTGGCCTTACTAATGCACCTGCAACTTTTCAAGCTCTTATGAACCAGGTTTTTCAGCCACTACTAAGGAAGTTTGTGTTAGTATTTTTTGATGACATCTTGGTGTACAGTTCTAGCAGAGACTTACATGTGCAGCACCTTAAGGAAGTACTAGTGATCATGAGGCAACACCAGCTGATAGCTAAACAAAGCAAGTGCTTCTTAGCCCAACCTCAAGTGGAGTATTTAGGTCACATTATCTCTCAAGAAGGCCTACAAACTGACCCTACTAAACTGGAAGCAGTGGCAGCCTGGCCTAAACCTGTGACCATCAAAGCCCTAAGGGGATTTCTGGGGTTGGCTGGATACTATAGAAGATTTATAAAAGCCTATGGAGTTATGAGTAAACCATTGACAGATATGCTAAGGAAGGAAGGGTTCAAGTGGACTCCAGAGGCTGAGGCAGCATTTGAAAAGCTCAAGCATGCACTTTGTAACCCTCCAGTACTAGCCCTCCCTAACTTCCAGAAAGAATTCACAATAGAAGCTGATGCTTGCTACAAAGGAATGGGAGCTGTCCTCCTCCAAGAAGGAAAACCAATTGCCTTTTTTAGCAAGGCTTTTGGTGAGAAACATCTGGGGATGTCCATTTATGAAAAAGAGTACCTATCCATTATTAATGCTGTGGAGAAGTGGAGGCCATATCTATTGGGAAGACACTTTGTCATCAAAACTGATCATCATAGTCTCAAATACCTGCTGGAACAGAAAATCACCACCTCCCTACAACAAAAAGGTTTGACCAAGCTGTTAGGACTGGACTATGCTATACAGTACAAGAAAGGGGTAGACAATGGAGCTGCTGATGCTCTATCAAGAAGGGAATCTGGAAAAGAGGCAGAAATTTACTCCATTTCTGTAGTCCAGCCTCAATGGATTGAAGAAGTGATCCAAAGCTATGATCAGGATAGCTGGGCAAATGAGACATTGACAGCAGTGTTGGTGGACCCTGCTGCCATTCCTGATGTGTCTGTAGTAGGAGGCCTTTTGAAATACAAAGACAGACTGTACATTGGGCACTCTGGAGGCTTAAGAGGAAAACTCATCTCACAGCTGCATGAGTCATCCCTTGGAGGCCACTCTGGGCAGAATGACACTTATCAAAGAGTCAAGGCACTCTTCTATTGGAAAGGGCTTAAGGTTGATGTGATTGAACTGGTGAGAAAATGTGATGTTTGCCAGAGGTGTAAGAATGAGAATGTGGCCAATCCAGGGCTGCTACAACCCTTGGAAGTCCCAGAAGAAGCTTGGCAAAGCATTTCCCTAGATTTCATTGAAGGGCTTCCCAAATCACATGGAAGGGAGGTCATTTTGGTGGTTGTGGACAGACTGACGAAGTATAGCCATTTTGTTGCCCTCCACCATCCATATAGTGCTGAGACAGTAGCAGAAGCCTTTATGGAAAATATCTACAAGTTGCATGGGTTGCCTAAGGAAATCATCTCTGATAGAGATAGGGTCTTCATCAGCAAGTTCTGGCAATCCTTATTCAAAAGTATGCAGGTTCAGCTCAAACTATCCACAGCTTACGACCCCCAGACTGATGGGCAAACTGAAAGAGTCAACAAATGCTTAGAAGGATACCTGAGGTGCATGGTCTTTCAAAGGCCCAAGGCATGGGTTAAGTGGCTGCACTTGGCAGAGTGGTGGTATAACACCAACTATCACTCCTCTACCCAGTATTTTCCCTTCCAAGCATTATATGGCTATTATCCCCCACTCATGGCTTTAAGTACCAGTAGCAACAGGACTGATTTTACCTGGGTTAATGAAAGAAATGCTGTGTTGGCAACTCTGAAAGACAACCTGCAACAGGCACAAAGTAGAATGAAGTTGCAAGCTGACAAGGGAAGAAGTGAAAGAACTCTTGAAATAGGAGATTGGGTGTATCTAAAGATACAGCCTTACAGGCAGGTTTCATTGGCAGTGAGGAAAAATTTGAAGCTATCATCTAAATATTTTGGACCCTATCAAGTGTGTGAAAAGATTGGGGCAGTGGCCTATAAACTCACATTACCTACTGGGGCCCTTCTTCATCTTGTTTTCCACGTCTCTCAGCTTAAGAAAAGAGTGGGAGATGGGGTCATAGTCCAGCAAGACCCTCTAGTAACGGGAGAGGAAGGACAAGTCCTAGTAGAGCCAGTGGCAGTTTTGGGGAAGAGACTGGTTAAGAGAAAGAACAAAGCCATCACTCAAATCCTAGTCCAATGGGGTAACCTTCCAGTTGAGGACGCGACCTGGGAAGACTACTACCATATTCGAAGCCAATTTCCCTCCTTTGATCCTTGGGGACAAGGATCGTCTGCAGCAGAGGGTACTGTAACACACCTGGAAGGAGGAACCAGAAATGGGGATGAAAGCATAAGGGTGGAAAAGAAGAAACGATGTCGTCTGAAGGAACGGTTGGAAGAAGTTGAGGGAGGATGAAAACGACGTCGTTCTACTTAAACAAAATAACCGTTGGGCTCCAACGACGTCGTTCGAATTAGTGGGAAGTTAGCCGTTGCTCACACCCATGCGACGCCGTTTCAAGCATAAATTCCAGGCCCTTCCAAATCAGTTAATTTGTTATGCAGTTAGGGATTGTATGGCTTATTAAGCTGAGATTTTGTATGAATGAGTTATGCGAATTTTGCAGAATATACTACACTCTTTTCTCCCAATCCTTCTTATTCTCTTTCTCTTCTCAATTTCCCTTTCACAAACCCTAGTACGTTACAGGCTACTTCCTAGCAGGGGCGTGAGGTAATTTCTTTGCTCTTATTTCATTTTAGGGTTTAGGTACTTTTCTCTGACATACATATATTTATGAGCTAAATGGAGTTTTATGCGTTACTCTTATTATGTCAGTCTATTGTGGATGAAGAGATAAGAAGACCTCCAATTTCAATCACTCATTTCAAAATGTAAGCGTTTTTCTTTATAGCTCAAGTATAATTCACTCTAATTTACAATCTCCATTTCCTTTTGCAGTCCGAGCTCTTAATTGAGCCACGATACCCGTTATTTGGAGGCTGGAAAGCCACCTTTGTCATGATACATCCTTTTAGTTGCAATTTCTTCTATATATTGTTTTGTGAGAATGAATTACTAGTTTATCTTATTTTAGTGCTTTTATTTCCTTGGCAGTTTGCAGTTTCTTCTGTGATCATTACTCTCTGCACTATGACTACCCTTTTCCAGTACAGTGACAAGTCACTGGTGTTTGTCTACTTCTTTGCTTTTGGACTCAGTGCCATCACAATGTCCTTTCTGATCTCTACATTTTTCACACGAGCAAAAACTGCCATAGCTGTTGGTCAAGAGGAAGGCATAGCTGCAGTGACTTGTTACTTTTCCTTTAAATTGAAAATCCCAAGTCAAATTCATTCAATCATTCTTAAGTTTAAGTATTTTCCTGATCAATAGAGTAATGCTTTCATTTAAGGGACCTGAACATGAAAGGTTCTTTTGTAAAATTAGGGAAGCAGGACAGGACTCTGAGTTCATGATCCTGAGTGAGATTTTTTATAGATAAAAGCAGTCCTCATCCTCTTTAAAATCCTAAGCTATTTCAGATAAAACTGAAAATAAATACATTTATGCTGTCTCAATGATTTTATCAAGCAGTGAGAATGGATTGCACTTCCCATTTATGCTGTCTCAATGATTTTATCAACTGAAAATTTAATACATTTATGCTGTCTCAATAACCCAGGAGTTTATACATACAATCAGTTCCTTAGTAGGGAGAATGGATTGCACTTCCCATGGAATTCCACATTATGGAAATCCTTTTGGAGGAGAAAAAATACTAGAGAACATTATGCTTCAACCTCAGAAGTTAATTTAATTAACAACTCAGATATAAAGAGAGTGCAAATTTATTTGGAGAAGAGATATACAAATCGGTCATGGAAACTATCAGTTTGGAAATGAAACAACAAGAAATTGATGTGAGGTAATGTTTACATATCATCTCCAAGTGAATTTCCTTAACTTAGTTGTGCATGCATTCTGTACAAGTATTGAGTTGTACAATTACGCCTATCTTCATGATTTGCAGATGTATACAGATCAGGAATCTGCAGAAGGTGTACAGTACAAATAGGGGAAACTGTTCCGCTGTTAAGTCATCATCAGGGGGTTTAGATTTCCATTTGGAAAAAAACATGTGAAGTAATTGAGTTGAGTTCAGTTTTTTTTTTTTAATCAATATCATACCTGATGTGTCTTATCACTCCTCCCAACCTCCCAAAGAAACGTACTGAAGCAACAAAGGAAAGTTGATCCTATAACATTCACTGTTTAATATCCTTTATCTTATTTCAGCTCAATTTTCACCTCCACTTTAACAACCCACCCACTTTATGGCAATTCAGATGAGCTAAGCTTGGCTTTAGGGATTTTTTTTTATTGATTGCCCAAGTATCCTTGTAAAAAAGCACAGACCATGGCAATGATGTAGTGCCTGTGAATGGTTGCAGACTTACAATCTCCAAACTAGAATTCTCCAATCTTTTAGTTAATTTTTTAGACTGATGTTATGGTTATTGAACAGACTGGGACACTAGATTTAGCTCATCACGATGAGCGAATGTTGGGACTCCATTTACTTCAATTTCCTGAGGTAAATTAATAATCCCTAATCTCATCTGCTTGGCATCAATCTTAGCTATGAGAGTATCAATTTTGCATTTTCTTTTCCTCTTACTCTTGTAGGTTGTTGAAGAAGCTTGTACGAATCTTCTACCAAATTTATTGTGCGAGTATCTCTATAACTTATCCGAGGATTTCACAAGATTCTACACAAACTGTCAGGTATGCAAGCTCTCTATGGATAATTATATGAAACTAGTATCATGATTGCATTTACCAATTTTCAATATAACTCTTTAGTTGACTGTGTTATCCTTTTGTAAAAAAAAAAAAAACAAGTAAATTTGGTTTTGAATATAAAGTGATACGTACTTCCATGGTGTAAACCATCAAATTACATGTCTTGCTGCATTACCCTCAACATTTTGTTCCCATTTTCTGAGGTGGATTAATCATTTTGTGGGATTGTTCTTGATTACATATTATTCCCATGTTCACAGCTGAAACAGCAGTCATGGATTATTCTTACTGGGTGAAGCGGGATAAAAATGCTATGTTATGCCATGTTTTATCGGTGAAAATGTACTTATACATTATCCAATGACTTGACTTTGCGGTTTTCAGGTGGTTGGCTCGACCCAGGAAACAAGTAGGCTCTTGCTTTGTGAAGCAACCACAGTTGTGATGAGGAAGTGCTTCCACTTATTGGGTATCAACCCAGTTTATAAAATCTGATGGCCTATTTATACTCACCCTCTTGATACTTTTAATGATATTGGTTTATTATTTCCTGGCATATATTTAAACCAGGAAATATCCTTGCTTTATCCAACGACTTGACTTTGCGGTTTTCAGGGATGTGGTCAAATGGGCCACTTAGCAACAGATTGCGAAGGGAAGGCGAAGAGAAAGGTTGGGGAGTTTGATGAAGAAGGTGATACTGAAGTGGTGGCAAAAAAGCCTTATCAGGTTAAGTTTTGGGTTTGATTACAAATCCAGTTCCTTTATGTACCGCATTTGTATTTCTCTGCTTGGCTACTTTGAATTTGTGTTCGTGAATGGTTTAAAATTTCAAATTTATATTTGACACCCATGTTTCAGCTTGGTTTATCTGAATCGCATTGCTCTCCCAGATGGATCTTAAGTTGATGTGTTGCTCAGACCAACTTTTTTGGCACTATATATATTCATATGCTTCTCATAAGTAGCACATAGTTCAATGAGTTTCAGATGTTAACAGGCACTTGAAACTAATATTTCTATCATCTTAATGTACTTATTCACTTGCACTTTGTTGTAGAGGTTTTTATGTTTCAGGATACATGAATTTTTTTAACTTGCTCACGGCTGTTTACAAGGAGTTTAGGTTGATAGGAGGGTATTTGACGGATGGCAGCAAGGTATTCAATTTGTATTAAAGAAGGTCTACTAATTTAGAGATTTTGTCTTGTTAATTGTTTTTCATATCATATTCTGTTTTTTTTTTTTTTTTTTTTTTTTTTTTTTTTTTTTTTTTTTTTTGGTGTGTTCCCTGCAGCAAGGTTTGTACCAGTATCTTTCTTCTTTATTTCTTTTCACGCTATGGTGTTTTTGGAGTTCTAACTGAGTTCACATGCGCTTCCCGAGCATTATAGGAGATTGATCACAGACCCAAACTCGCCTACTATTGATTTTTATCCCACTAGTATTTTTTATCGCTTAATGTATTCATTTTTTTTTTTAAAACGTAATGGAATTGTGTTTATATGGTTGTTATGCTTGTAGATTTTGAAGTGGACATGAATGGCAAGAGGTTTTCTTGGCAGGTATTGATTAAAACATTTATAATTTGCTTTCTGAGAAAGGATATCTTCTGTGATGTTTATCATGCAATTGAATTAAAATATTTCTTGATGTCAAGGGCTTGCCAAATTGCCTTTCATTGATGAAGCTCGGCTCCTTGCAGAGGTTGCAAAGGTTGAACATACATTGACGATAAGGTTATCTATCCTTATTACCCAATTGAGCTCAAAGAGATTAGTATTTTAATCGATCATGTAATCAAATTTTAATTGAGCCAAATTGCCATTGGTATTTGTAGAATTTTAAATTTTATTTTTTTTAATTAGTAAATCTTACCGACCACCTAGTGGCCGGTAATTCAAAATTTTTAATTTTTCTTTGTAAATTTTACCGGTGGATGATATTCCGACCAATTATCGACTACCAATGGTTGGAAATACGCTCTTTTTATCCGACAACTAATAGTTTCTCGACCTCCTAAAAAAGAAATCGGTATTTCCGACCACATTGACTAGTTATCGGTAATAGCGTGGATTATTTTTCCGAATCCATAAAATGGTCGGTAAGTTGGTCGGAAACTACATTTCTGACCGGAAATCTCCCTTTTCCGACCACGTTTTGGTGGTCGGAAAAATGCAGAATTCCAGCAGTGGACATTTCTAACGATCGAATTGATTTTCTATGGGAAATTCTATTTGTACCATCCTATTTGTTATTTACACCACCCTTTGATATGCGTGATAACTTTATAGGTGGTGTAAATAGAAAATTGTAATTTGCACCACCTTCATTAAATTTAGTCAAATATTATATATTTTAAAAAAATATTTATTATTTATTTTTACTTAAAAATCAAAATATTAATTAAAAAAAAAAAAAAAAAACCTCCCTCGCGTTCTCACGGGAGAAGGCGGTTTTTTTTTTTTAATACTTTAGTTAATTAAAATTTTAATTAAAAATTATTAATACAATCTAGTAAATCACATTTGACCAAGTGGTGTAAATAACAATATAAACACCTCTATGATTATTTACACCACCTATAAGATTGTTTAATTTTTTGTCATTTTTATAATTCTAATGTGATTTACACCTACTTTGACTAGAGAGTGGTACAAATAGCAACACCCTGGGTAATTCTATTTGTACCACTCAATTTGCTATTTACACCATCCCTTTAATAGGTATAATAGCTGTATAGGTGGTGCAAATAAAAAATTCCACCATCATTAAATGTGGTCAAATATTAATATCTATTATTCATTTTTTTAACAATCAAAATATTAATTTAAAAAAAAAAAAGAAAAAGAAAAAGAAAAAGAAGATGAATCCGTCACCTTCTTCGGTGAGAAGGCGACTCACTAGGCTGCCTTCTCACGGGAGAAGGCAGCCCAGTTAAAAAAAAAAAAAAAAAATTCCCTTCACCTTCTCCGGTGAGAAGGCGAGGGGCTGCCTTCTCACCGGAGAAGACAACGAGAAGGCAGCCCAGTGGGTCGCTTTCTCACTGGAGAAGGCTACCCAGGTAGCTTTCTACCTGGCCACCTGGGTTGCCTTCTCACCGGAGAAGGCAACCCAGATAGAAAGCTACCTGGGTCGCCCGGGCCTTCTCACGGGAGAAGGCGAGGGTTTTTGTTTTTTTTTTTGTTTTTTTTTTTAAATATTTTAATTAATTAAATTTTGAATTTAAAAATTATTAATTACAAATTTGACCAAGGTGGTGCAAATAGCAAAATGAACCTCGCATTTGGTTATTTACACCACCTATGTAATTATTAAAAGCTTTCACTTTTTGCAATTTCAAGATATTTTATACCCACTTTTGGTCAAACGGTGGTGCAAATAACAACACCCTATTAAATTCTTGTAATGACGCTTAAATGTGAAATTAGAATCTCGATCAAAGAGTGTAGTGTAGAAGAAGAAGAATGGTCCCAATGTTCTTGTCTCACAGGGCGTACGCACCTCATAAAATAATAGCAACAAAGACAGACAAATTAAAAAAGATGGAACTACATATATAGCTTGGTGTTCAATACAAGGATCAAATGGGAGTATTTTATAAGAAGCTCTCAAAAGCAATGAATATAATTGTTTGAGTGCATGGAAGGATACGAATAATTTGCTTTTCAACTTTTTGAATATTATCTGATATCGTGACATATATCTTCATTCAATTCTTCTCATCTATTTCATCTCCAATTCTCCAAATATACATATAATGTTACTATATAAGTGGCATGGCCTGGTGTTGTACGTGGTGAGTGAACACAAATATACACTCTCACATCCTCAGCTCATTTCTCTGTTCAATATTGCAACCCAACTTCAATTCTGTTGCTATTTAAGACCATAATTTCACAACCAACAATGACGCTCTCATCACTAAGAAGCCAGCCTATTGACGAGAGTATAATCAGAGAGCAGGTTTTGTCCACTGACAATCATGACGGTAGACACTTCAATACCAATTTTATTTTGAGCGATGCGGAAAAGATTCTTCGTCTCGGAATGGTTTGTCATTCTACTTTTACTTTTCACTTAAATTATATTCATGATATCTTAAAACTATTTTAAGTAGTTTAATTATTTGTAAACTTCATCTATGGTGCTCTATTTAGGATAAAAACTTATATATATTCTAATTGTGACTAAATACAATGTTGTTTATTTAAATTTAATTAAGGGAAAATGACAATTTTTCTTCCTGAATTATATGTTTATAGCACATTTTTTTTTCTGAATTATTCACGTAAACACATTAGTCCCCTCAATTATTCTAAAAGTGGTGATTTTTCCCCCATGATATATTAAATTGACATTTCTACCCTTAAAGTAAATATTTAATTTATTTTTTTTCTCTCAACAAATGATTACTTATACGTAGGGATGACTACGGGTTCGGTTCTAACTGAACCGAACACTATAGCAATCAAATTGAAAGTTTCCGGTTATGATTCAGATTCATAACCCAATATTTGGATTTCAATTTATTAAAATCATAAATCGAAAAAACTGAATCCTGAACCGCGAGCCGGCGGTTCGAATTGGAACAACTACTAGCATTAGCTTAAAATTAGAATTATAATATTTACAAATAGTATATGTTCTTTTTTACATTTATTCTGATTCTCACATATAAGTATATATGACTGCGATTTGGTTTTGATTTTGAATCGCTGATTCACGGTTCCGAATCCAGTTGGAACTGGCGGTTCAAACTTTATTTTAAAAATAGTATAAATTCAACAATAAATGTATTTAATTTTTTCAGTTCGGAACATTAATTCGCCGTTCCGGTTCACAATTTTAATAAACTGAATATCAAATTTCGATTCTAAATTGAAATCGGAATATTTCAGTTTGGTTGCTATAGTGTCTGTTTGAACCAAATCGTGGTCATAATTTGTTGGAGAAGAAAAATAAATGATATATTTATTTTAAGGGTAAATATTGTTAACCATATTATAAGTTATTATTATTATTGTATTTGACTAGTCTTGTAATAGGATCATTTTGTTATAGTCTCCCTCTTAGATAGGATAGTATTACGTTAGTTGTTATTTGCTTTATATTGTAACTCCTGTCCTATTGGGTTGAATAATCAGAAATAATTATCTCATCTGATATCAGTTAGACCGGGTAGTTTCTCTCTCTCCTCTCCCCAAAAATCCGTCAAATAATTGCCACTTGAATAATTCATGGAAAAAAATGCTATAAATATATAACTCAACGAAAAAAGTGCTATTTTCGCTTTAATTAATTAATTTATATGCTAATAATGCAAATATGTATGGCAGTGGCTTGATGAAGCTAAGGCTTTGGGTTAGTTTTAACTTATATTTAATTAAATTATGTATGTATTTTGGTCGGGGGTTAGGGTACTACTGAAGAAGTCATGGTGGAGAAATTGAATCAAGTAGTAGAGCTCAATAATATTTACGAACAACTTCCATATCATATCAGACAAGTTTCGATTGAGGTGCGATTCAATTTTTAACCATTATATTTAATTTGATGTGATAGATGATTCTGTTATATTTTCAATATAATTTCTAATCATACATTAACTTTTTAGATAGTGTCCGGCTTAAATGCTAAGACTGCAATTCAACAACACTCCACCATTCTTGGTGTACTGAGGAAGCTGTGTTGGTATTCTTGGGAAGATAAGATGGTTCTCATGCTTGCTGGTTTCTCCGTTATCTATGGAGAATACATCATTCTTGATTCCCGACTATGCAAAGGCGACACCAAATTAAGAGGATTGGTTAAGAAGTTGGGATCTCTAAGACAAAATAATCTAGTTGAGATACCACCCTCTTACACCGAAAAAGTTATAGTGGATTGCTTGAGTTCTGTGTTAGAACTCACCAAATCCGTGGTTGAGCTCAAGAAATGCCCATATTACTTCCCCCCACCATCAATAATTTTGGCCTTACCAATGACTACCTATTGGATAGTAACAACTCTCATTAACCTCAGTGCAGCCTGTGCCTGTGTTGCTCACTTCAAGTAAGATTTAATATAATTGTAAAAGTTCCTTAGATACACATAATTCGCTTAGTTGCTTGTTGAGATTTGTTCTTATTTTTTTTGAAAGGAGATTAGTTCTTATTTAAACACATATGACCTCAATTTTTTTCAGGGTTCATCAAAATGAACTTGAGGAGCTAACTGCCTTAATTGCCAAAATCCAGGCTACTTTCTCTCCCGAACTATGTTAGTTTTATATATAAAGTTTTCATTTAATATTTACACATTTAATTTATTTATTGAAGATAACTATATATGATATGGTGTTAATATATCTAATTTTTTTTTCTTATCAATATATGCAGCAAAGAAAAAGGCAGAGGAATCTTTTCAAATATTGCGGCATGCATGGTATCACAATTCTTTCTCTAATAGGATAGAACTTTTCAAGTTAATGTTTAATGTCAAGGAGGATGAAGAAAAGATATTTCAATGGCGCAATAATTTCTGGGTGAGGCTTTAAATTAATCATAGGCTTACTTTTACTACTAGTTTTTTTTTTTTTTTTTTTTTTTTTTTTTGGAACCAGGTTATATTATATTTCAAATATAATTTTTTTTAAATCTTTTATTCTTCAATTAAATAGTGCATGCCCTTTTAAAAAAATAAATTAATTAAATAGTGCACGCTTGCATTGATATATATATATTAACTTAATTGTTCGTAGTAAGTTTTGTATCATGATATCGTATTATACAGATACAAGGATCTATTTAAATACAATGATTAATATATATATATATATATATATATATATATATATATATATATATATTAAATTTAATGTCGTCCAATTCAATATAATATTATTCATATATAGAGTCGGTAGTAATGCAAATATTGTTTGTGTTTATGATGTTAGAGATTAAATTATTGGAGAAACGACCAGACAGATCTTCTACTAATAACATCAGGGTTTGACATCTCTAATGAACAAATTGATTTTCTAAATTGGTTTTACAACAACTCAAGCCCATATATTATTTGGATCCCAATCATGCAGTACAATGTAGCATGGACCACTGAGGATGAACATCACTTTGAAAAAGTAAAAAAGAGGATGCATAATTTACATTTGTTGAATGATCCACCAAAAAGATTGTTGCCACAATTCACTAGATTTATTAAAGAGGAGCTATTTTCAAAGTTTAAGATGAGACGATGGGGAGAAGAGGCTATCCTTGTTTCAATAGATCGGAAGGGAAGAATTGTTCATTCAAATGTCATGCATATGATACTCACTTGGGCTCCTCATTATATTCAAGAAAATACAATAGAAGTACAAAGATTATATAATATAACTCGCTTGGTGGCAAAGGAGGTGAAAGAAGGGACAATTGGCGTTAATCGTGTTCTGCCTGAAATTGATGAAATGATTAATGATTTTTTAAGTGAAATTGGTGATAAGATAAATGCTTGGGCAGACTTGGTTGACAGCAGGATACGAAAAGTGGTACGATACCTACGTTGTACTTTTTTGTTTCAATTATTATTAATTTTCAATTCAATATTGTACTGCATGTACCATTTTATAACACACATTAATTCTTATTCAGTTGGAGGAATCTACTCCGTATCGCAGTGACAGGGAGAAAGATTTGTGGCAACAAGAAACAACTTGGAGTCTTAATCTCTTGGCACCAAAATTTCAATCCTATCAAGCAATTGGCGAACTGATAAAGGATTGGGTATGCTCACCTTTAAATAATTCTGTTTTTATTTTTTAAAATTTATATTAGAAATTGCACGTTAATCATGCGGTTATGTTTTTTTTCTTTCTTTGTTTTTTTTTTTTTGTTTTGTTTTGTTTTTTTTTTTTGTTTTTTTGTTTTTTCGTTTATTATTATTATTATTATTTTTTTGTTTTTTTTTGTTTGTTTGTTTTTTTTTTTCAGATTCAAGAGGAAAAATATATTTTTTTGTATGGAGGAAATGACATAAAATGGGTTCAAGAATTCACTTCTAAGGTAGGCAAAGTTGGCTCCAAAACTCAATTAAACATAGAGTTGGTCTATGTTGGAAGAAACAAGAAAATAAGAGGAATCATTGATGAAAAGAGAATGAGTCATTCTCCTTTGCACAATTCTGCAAGTGTATGGTGGTTTTGGACTCGTCTTCGAAATATGTTTTTGTCAAGAATTCATTATTTAGATGTGACTGATTGTCCTGTTAAAGAATACAACAATGATGAGATTTTGCAAGGGCTTAAAAAATTATTGGGCTACGAAAGCACCAATACAACAATTGAAGGATGGGCCTTGTTATGCAAAGGTGCAAAAGTGATTGTATGTGGACATGGAACTAAAATGTTGCGAGTCATGAATGAATATCAAATATGGAAGGAGAACATAGCCCCCAAAGGTTTTGGACAAGCATTCAAAGACCACCATGATGATATGATTTTCATGAATAGGCATTCTTGTTGTACTCTCGAATATCCAATTAACTTGGACAAAATTCCTGAAAATGAAACATGTTATGAGTGCTCTCGTAGTATGCACAAGTTTTTAACTTTCACTTGTTGTCATGGCCATGATGTTGACTCTAATAAAGATTAGTACTATTGAGATTTTGTATTTTATAGTGTGTTTGCTTTTCTTTAAAAAAAAAAAAAAAAACCTTTTATAAAACTTAATGCTAATTTTCATTACATTACATGTTCATTTCAATTTAACTTTATAGTCATTATATTTTGAATCTTTTGTTCTTTAAAAACTTTGTTTTAATCAACTAGTTAAATGTAGTGCGTTGTGTAATTAATTTAATAAATGCTCAATGATTAAGAAAATTTGCCTTACATTATTATTAAAATAAATATTAAAAAACTATACTACTATATTTTAATATAGGAAAAAAAAATACTATTTTTATCTTAAATTGTTTTACAACTGTCAATTTAGTTTCTAACTTTTAATATAAATTAATGTAATCCTCAAATTGTTTTAATTTTCGTCGTCATAAAATAAAAGCAACAAAGACAGACAAATGTAAAGGACAAAAAAGATGGAACTAACAAGCTAAGCTAAGCTCCTTTAATTTCTTTGTATATATGCCTTAGCTTGGTGTTCAATACAAAGATCGAATGGGAGTATTTTACAAGAAGCAGTCAAAAGCAATGAGTACATGCATGGGAGGATAAGAATAATTTGTTTTTTCAACTTTGTAATTATGTGATCTAGACATATTTTTTCATTCCTCTCATCCATTTCAGCATAAAAAATATATAATGTTACTATATATTTCTTCATTCCTCTCATCGATTTTAGATCTGTGCGTGGCCGGGATCTTTATTAGATCTAGGGTTAATATTAGACAATCGTCTCTAATAGAAATGGTTGCCTCTTATAAAGCAATTTCTATTTTAAGGCAACCATTTCTATTAGAAAGGATTGTCTATTATAAATCAATGTTTTTTTAAATATATAAAAAATACAATGGGCAACCATTACAACTAACAACGGTGGTAGATTATTGATCACTTATTTACAAAATTGTCACCGCGAATTTTTGGGCTAAGATTAGGTAACCATTCTTTTAACAATGGTGGCCTATGGTCAATCTTCTATGTTCAATTTTGTACTAGTGTGAACAAATTTGTATCGAATAAACTGAGGGATTTATAGTTCCAAGCTAGCCAAAAGAATAATGTTTGTAAATTGGTTTAGTCATTGTACAGTTTAAAACCTATCCCTAAACAATGACACTAAAAATTTGACCACACAATGATTAACGATGGGTTTAAGATAAAAGATAGTGACAATTGGACATGCATGATAGATGATAATATGGTTATATGTTTATACGTGGATGTTATACTCATGGGTCATAACGATGAAATGATCAAATCTAACCAAAAAGTATTAAATTTTAAATTTGTCATATTTGACGGATTTAATCTCTTGGATTAGCAAACTATATGATCGTTTGTTAAGCAACTTTCAGAATGTTTGATAAAATTCTTGATAAATTTAATAAGGATGATAATCGATTGGATATGGCACCGCTGTGTTGGAAAAATTTGCTAAGTTAACATTTAAAGTAATCAATTTATGGTTTAATTTTAAGTAGGATCCACTTACAATTTGGGTCCAATTAAATTGGATTCAAGTTCTCTTAGTAAAATGTTTAATGCAATATGTTATATGGTCAAAATAGATAATAAATGGATTAGAAATTAATTCTACCTACCTCAAAGTGTATGTAGTTATGAAGTTGGGAAAATAATATTTGGGAAAGCTTACTTGTTATTAGCCTTTGCCCCAAACTCAATGTGCTTTAATTTATGCTTTTCTATATCAGTGAATGAATTAATCAGTCTGTTTTGAAAATTAATTAATTGTTTGTAATAAAATGCTAACAATAATATCAAATTCTTTTAGTGAGGCTTAAATGTGATTTTAGAATCTCAAGAGTGTAGTGTAGAAGAAGAAGAAGAATGGTCCCAAGGTTTTTGTCCGATCACTGGGTGTACCTCAAAAATGCAACAAAGACATACAAATTAAAAAAGATGGAGCTAACATACAAGGTAAGCTAAGCTAAGCTCCTTTAATTTCTTTCATTCAATGATAATTAGCTTGGTGTTCAATATATACAAGGATCAAATGGGAGTATTTTATAAGAAGCTGTCAAAAGCAATGAATATAATTATATTGTTGGAGTGCATGGAAGGATAAGAATAGTTTGCTTTTCAACTTTTTGATTATATGATATCGTGACATATATCTTCTTCTCATCCATTTCATCTTCAAATATACATAATATAATGTTACTATATAAGTGGCCTGGTGTTGTGGTGAGTGAACACAAATATACACTACTGTCACATCCTCAGCTCATTTCCCCCCTCTATTGAACTACCAATTTGAATTATTATTACTCTCACTCTCGTGGATCCCCCAATTTCTCCGTTCAATATTGCAACCCAACTTCAATTCTATTGCTATCTGAGACCATAATTTCACAACCAACAATGACACTCTCACTACTAAGCAGCCAGCCTATTGAGGAGAGTATAATCAGAGAGCAGGTTTTGTCCACAGACAATCATGACGGTAGACACTTCAATACCAATTTCATTTTAAGCGATGCGAAAAAGATTCTTCGTCTCGGAATGGTTTGTCATTCTACTTCTACTTTTCACTTCAAGTCATGATATTTTAAAACTAATATTTTAAGTAGTTTAATTATTTGTAAACTTCATCTATGGTGCTCTATTTAGAATAAAAACTTATATATATTCTAATTGTGACTAAAGACAATGTTGTTTATTAAATTCAATTAATTAATTTATATGCTAATAATACAAATATGTATGGCAGTGGCTTGATGAAGCTAAGGCTTTGGGTTAGTTTTAACATATATTTAATTAAATTATGTATGTATGTATTCTGGCCGGGGGTTAGGGTACTACTAATGAAGTCATGGTGGAGCCGTTGAATCAAGTAGTAGAGCTCAATAATATTTACGAACAACTTCCATATCATATCAGACAAGTTTCGATTGAGGTGTGATTCAATTCTTAACCATTATATTTAATTTGATGTGATGATGATTCTGTTATATTTACTAATATAATTTCTAATAATACATTAAATTTTCAGATAGTGTCCGGTTTGAACGCTAAGACGGAAAATCAACAACACACCACCACTATTGGTGTACTGAGGAAGCTGTGTTGATATTCTTGGGAAGATAAGATGGTCCTCATGCTTGCTGGTTTCTCCATTATCTATGGAGAATACATTCTTCTTGATTCCCGACTATGCAAAGACAGCTCCAAATTAGAAGGATTGGCTAAGAAGTTGGGATCTCTGAGACAAAATAATCTAGTTGAGACACCACCCTCCTTCACCCAAAAAGTAGTAGTGGATTGCTTGAGTTCTGTGTTAGAACTCACCAAATGCGTGGTTGAGCTCAAGCAATGCCCATATTACTCTCCCCCGCCATCAGTAATTTTGGCCTTACCAATGGCTGCCTATTGGATAGCCACAACTATTATTAATGTCAGTGCAGTCTCTGCATGTGGTTCTCACTTCAAGTAAGATTTAATTGTAAAAGTTTCTTAGTTACTATACACATAACTAGCTTATTGAGTTGCATGTTGGATTAGTTCTTATTTGAGCACATATGGCCTTAAAATTGTCAGTATCCATCAAAATGAACTTGAGGAGCTAACTGCTTTAATTGCCAAAATCCTGGCTACTTTCTCTCCTGAACTAGGTTAGTTTTATATATAAAGTTTTCATTTAATATTTACACATTTAATTTATTTATTGAAGATTCACTATATATGATATGATGTTAATATTTCAATTGTTTTTCGTATCAATATATGCAGAAAAGAAAAAGACAGGAATCTTTTCAAATGTTGCGGCATGCATGGTATCACAATTCTTCTTCTAATAGGGTAGAACTTTTTAGATTAATGTTTAATGTCAAGGATGATGATGAAAAGATATTTGAAAAGCCCAAGCAATATCATTTACCGGTGAGGCTTTAAATGAATCATATGCTTACTTTTACTATTGATTTTTTTTTTTTTGAACTGGGTTATATTATAATATTATATTATATTTGGGTGCACAAGCTGCATGCAAGCCTGCAACTATTTCATCTAACTTTCTACGGTGAAATATATATATATATATATATATATATATATATATATATATATATATATATTGAATTTGTATTGGTCCACTTTTTCTGAATTAATATTATTTTCCTGCTTCGAAATTAAATTATACCGTATGCTTTATATTGATTAAAATGTGTAGATTCTTGCTAGTTGAAGCATTCATAAGCTTTGATTTTCCCGCCCTAATTGCTATTACGGTGTTTATGCATACAATTAAAGGATGAGGAAGTGTTTATTACTATTGCGATTGGGTTTGCTGGTTGAGCCATCATATTAGCCTTTCCATATATACATTTTTTAAATATAAATTTGTTTTAAATCTTTTATTCTTCAATTAAATAGTGCATGCTTGCATTGACATAGATATGAACTTAATTGTTCATTACGTGGTTAGTTTTGTATCATTATATCGTATTATACAGATACAAGGATCTAAAATTTAAATACAATGATTAATATATATATATATATATATATATATATATATATATATATATATATATATAATTTAATCTCGTCCAGTTCAGTATAATATTATTCATATATAGAGTCGATAGTAATTACGGGAATTTTTTATGTTTATGTATGTTAGGTGGGATTAAATCATTGGAGAGACACCCCTTCTACTAATAACATCAGGCTTTGACATCTCTAATGAACAAATTCATTTTCTAAATTGGTTCTATGTGAACTCGAGGCCATATATTATTTGGATCCCAATCATGCAGTATAATACGGCATGGACCACTGGGGATGAACATCTCTTTGAAAAAGTAAAAGAGAGGATGTATGAGATTTTTTTTTTTTTCAAAAGAGAATGCTTTATATCATCAAAAGAACCCAAACGGTCTTACAAAGAATCACTTGGCCCAAAAGTGACCAATCTAAACACAAGGGACCAACTAAAGTCCTCCAAAGAAGCCCTACACAATAAAGGCAGAAAGTCTACCTAACTAGGGGCCAACAAGGCCTTACAAAGAATCAGAAGTCATTATACAAGGAAGAAAATCAAACCACTCGGCCTACACCCCTTTGATGCCAAATCAGCTGCCAAACCAGACTAGCACACCAAACCTGTACCCAAGCTAAGGATTTGATCTATCTTGAGCCACCATTTAGGAATAGCCATCCCCTTACTCCCCTTTCTTGCCTCAAGCCATCTACTTGCTCGCATGGCCGCACACTTGGCTTATCACAATCCAACCCCCGTTCTGCCATCAAGCCCTCATGCTCACAGAAAACCCACCAATGCCCTTGAATGGTTCACTACGGAGGAACCCTAAGCCCTCACCCCTAGAGCGCGAGGTCAACTTCCCCGCACAGAGCCCTGTGTTTTAACCGGGGAAGCCACATATGCCCCCACTCAAGGCAATGAGACCCACCCTTGGACACACAAGATGATACTCCTTGTTGGTACATAGTACTTGCACAAAAAGATCATTGTACCTCATGTGTCAAGCAATGGTAACTTAAAGTCTTTGTTCTTGCCCCACAAGATGGTACCCCCTACTAGTACCATGTACATGCATAGGGAGACCATTTCCTCTCATGAGGCAAGCAACAAAAGAGCCCAACCAGCCCCAACCTCATATTCTATTACTGCCAGGGCCACTTTGGCCTCAAACCATCTTCATCTTCTCTTTTTCTACTTTGCTTTTTTCTCATTTTTTGTTTTTGCTCTTTCTTTTCTATCTGTTTTCCTTTCTTCCTAGACAGGCAGTCTCCCTCCATAGATCACATCCCAAGGCATTGAAGAATTTCCAGTTCGCAATCTTCCCACCAGCAACCCTCCCAGGAACTATTCACAGCCTTGAAGATAGAACCCCTTACTAGTACGAGTACATGCATAAGGAGACTATTTTGCCTTCAAGACTATGCAATAGATATCAAGATAAGCCAAGTGATCAACCTGCAAGCCAAGTAAAACAACCAAACATTCTAAAGAGGATAAGCTATTCTTACCCAGTAGATCAGAACAGATCCAGCCCTTAGCTCCAGCATCAGCTCTGATGTGCTCTTCTGGTTTGCCCTCTGCAAGCTCTATCAGGTTGTGGACCTTGTGAATCTGATGATTAGCTTCATTGTTCTTCCTCCCAACCCTTTCCCTTGACAGGACAGAAGGACTATGATTTATGTTATGCATCCTTGAGCCTCTGCAAGCCAAAGCATCCTCAGATTTCCTTAGCCAAGCCATCCAATACTGGAGCCCTACCCAATCCCAGGGTCCCATGTCCTTCTGGCTGGAGGCCCAATGATGTCCAAACCTGGGAGGATGATAAAGTGGGGCAAGCCTTCTAAGGCCAAAATTCTCACAAAACCCCTTGGGAGACCATTAGCCCTCATAAAGACCACATTCTGTCCCCTGCAGCAGTACAATAGGCTATGGGCAATGCAGTTCACTTTTCTATTACATTTCAACCACATCACTTTTATCAGGTCAGGCTGCCTTCTTCCCTCTAGGCTTTGATCAGTCTCCACTTGGACCTGAGTTATCCTCCCTCTTCTGCACCATTCCCAGCAGTCTTTTAGCATCTGGCCCTTCAACTCAGGCCCTGAGTAAACTCCTGTACGCATAAATTCACCTTGTGAATTCCTCACAAAAAAGGCACATCCCTCACCGTCTTCTGCAAAATTGATCTTAATCCACCCCAAAGGGGGCTTGTTCCAGCACAGCTTTCTTATTATTCTAGTACAGCCAAACCCTTTTGCTCTTTTCAACATGAATTCCCAATTTGGAGGGAAGGCCTCCCAATTTGGCCATCTTCTCATGATGCAATCAGCTATGCCCTTTGCCACCCTAAACCTTATTCTGGCCTCAGACACTTGTTCACCTCCATACTTACACTGATTCATATGCACCCATAGCTCCCAAAGGATAATGACTGGGAGCCTATCAGCCATAAATTTCAACAACCTATTTCTAGGCCCTCTTCCCCACCAGTCAAAGCAAACTTGTCTCACCCCTCTGATTTGGATCCCTAGGCCTAAGGACTTGGCAAAGTATGCCCAAATTCTGCTTGCAGTGTTTCCCTTACAGAACACATGCTGCAAGTCACCTCTGCCAGGCTGTATGCAACAAGAGCACCTAAATGCAAATTGGAATCCGAAAATGGCTAATCTATCATCTGTTGGGACATTTCCCTTGAACACCCTCCAGGCCAGGAATGAAGCCTTCCATGGCACATGCTTCAGCCAAATCTTTTTGTGCCAGAACTGCCTGCCATCCCCTCCTACATTTTGCTCTCTGATGAGTTTTTTTGCTGAGGCCAAGGAAAATACCTTATCCCTCCCAGGATTCCAGACTGCTACATCCTCCTCTCCTGGTCTTAAAGACAGATTTCTCAGCTCTCTTTGCACATGCACCTCCAGGTTTCCCAAGTTCCAAGCTCCATTCTCCCAGAAATCACTGAGTTTATCCCTTGATTGAGTCTTTCCCCTTATATTGTACAAGGTTGCCATGGCCCCCTTCCCACTCCAGTTATCCCACCATAGATTCACACACCCTTTCCCAATCTGCCAACCAATTTCTTTTTCCACTTTGTCCCTGGCCTCCAACATTCTTCTCCATGGGTGAGAGTCCCCATAGTGCCAGGCCTTGGCTACTGGATGTGCTTTTGCACAGTATTTGGCTTTCAAGAAATCCCCCCATATTGTTTTGGTGGATCTGAATCTCCACCAGAGTTTAAACCCTGCAGCCTCTACAATTTCCCCCAGACTGGTGAACCCCACTCCCCCTTCCTCTATTGGTATTGCTAGCTTAGCCCAGGAGCTCCAATGGTACTTTGCCTTTCCATCAATTCTTCCCCAAAAAAAGTCAGCCAAGATCCATTCCAGCTTTGCAATCACAGTCTTTGGAGGATTTACTGCAAAAAACACATGAGAAGGCATGGCCTGCAAGACAGTTTTGATTAGCACAGCTTTGCCCCCTTGGGACAAATGCCTGTTTAGCCACCCTTTACATTTGGCAGAAAATTTAGAAATCAGGGTGTTAAAGAGGTCAACTCTCTTCCTTCCTATGTAAATGGGGCAGCCAAGGTAATTAAAGGGGAATTCCTTCTTTTGAAAACTGGTTACCCCACTCACTCTATTCACAGCTTCAATTGTAGCCTTAGGGTGCATAAAAAAAGCACTTTTTTCCTTGCTAACTAACTGCCCAGAATAATCCTCATATGTCTTAATTGCTTCCATGGTTTTTTCTAACACATTTTTCCTTCCATTGGTGAAAATAACCATGTCATCAGCAAAAGCCAAGTGATGAATTTGAGGGCCCTCCTTTGGCTGAGTAAAGGATACCCCATTTGCAGCCAGAAGCTTAGATAGCAGCTCAGCTGCAATGATGAATAAGCTGGGTGACAAAGGGTCACCCTGCCTCAGCCCCCTTGTGGCATGGAAAAAGCCTCTTTGCTCACCATTAATTACCACAGAATACCAAATGTTGTTGATGGTTTTTTCAATCAAATTAACCCAAGCCTCACAGAATCCCAGCTTTCTAAGAACAGACATGACACATGCCCATGACATTCTGTCATAGGCCTTTGTCATGTCAAGTTTCAACACCACATCATTGTTTTTAGCTGAGATTCCATGGCATATCTCCTGTGCAAGTAGGATGTTGTCAGTGATACTTCTATCCTTTACAAATCCTGCCTGCCAAGGAGATATGACTTTTGCAAGCACATTAGCCATTCTTACCACCATTATTTTTGTGATGATCTTACTGCAATAATTACTCAAACTAATTGGTCTAAATTCTGCAAAGAATGCTGGATTAGAGACCTTAGGGATGAGAATTATTGCAGTGTGAGTTATAGCCTTAGTCAAGGTTTTGCCATTAAAAAAGTCTTGGATCAACTTACAGAGGTCTGCCTTGATGATGTCCAGCAA